CTGCTTTGCAGCGAGCTGGGTTGGGGTTACTATAGTTCAAACGCAGCTGAGATCAGCAGGCAGGGCGTGTGTGTGTGTGTGTGTGTGTGTGTGTGTGTGCGCGCGCGCGGAGGGGGGGGACGGGGGAGGAGGTGCGGGGAGAGAGGAAGGGGGCTTTGCAGTGAGAAGGCATCAGAGATTAATGGATGGCTTTGCATCGCAGTCTGCAGTAAACAGGAAACTAGTTTGAAAGGAAAGGAGAGGACTGTGTGTCTTTATTTTTTAAAATACGGACTGTGCCGTTCTACTGAATCTTGAATCATGCCCAAAGGATGAGCTGTCGGTGCTGCAGTCGTGACCCAGGCTGAGCGCCCAATGGCAGAGATAGCAGTTTTTATTCCCTCGCTCTGGCCCTTTAAGAGTTGAAAGATGGTCCGGTTATTCAGAGTGGACTCCGTATCTTTGCCACTTTGGAGATACCGAGAAACCACAGAATTGCTAGTAGTTTATGTGGAAATCAGGTACATACAAAGTTAGGTAGCAATAGTGTGGGAGTGGGGGGGACCAGCTATATTTAAAACATGTGCCAATGCTTATGTAAGAAGTGCGTTCTCCTCCCGGGTATCTCAGTTTTGGGCTGAGTTTACTTACGATTTTAGCCTCTAGTTTTGCCCTCTAACATTTTCAGGGCTTACCATCCTAACATATGGACAGACAAAAAACCTTTCTTGAGATTGGTTTTAGCGGATGGTAGAATTTTTTTTTTTCCGTTGGATTGGACAAAGAAAAATGATTTTTTTCTTTTGATGGGAGAAAAAGGTGTAGAAACTTCCAGCCTTAAATTTTCTATTGTATTGAATTTAAAATTGGATCATACAGCTTTCTTATTTTTGCTTTTTTTTTTTTTTAAAGGAGTTTATCTAGGAGATGTGAATATCCTTTTTTTTGGTAAGATTGAATTTTCTGTTCCTTTTTCTTAACGTAATTCTTCAACAGACAAGCCATGACTTTAAAAATGTACATTTTCTGAATTGTTCAGGGTGATTTGTTTGATTTCTTCATATTCAAAACCAAAACACAGTGTTTTCAGGAAAGTGTAGAATGAGACTTCTGTGTTTCCTAACCCACAAATATGAATGGTGAACTGTGCAACGTTATGCTTGTACAGGACAGTACTGTGTAAGTAGTGATTGCTGTTTCCAAGCCTGGGAAAGTCATTTAATGAAATCATTGTGGTGCTGTTTTTGGTTAGCATTTGTTGAGTCTTTTTTTGCTGTTTTTGGAAAGGATTTTTTTTAAAGCTGTCCCACTGTGTAAACCATCTTTAATTTTGAGTCACATTTAGTTTACATTACTTGCTGAGGTGGTTGTTTTGGCATATTACTTTCCCAGTTCTTATAACACTTAAGGAGGAAATATAAAAATCTTTGATGTAGGAGAAAATTTGTGTAACTGTACAGGGCAGGAAATAGCTTATATATTTGGCTGTAGGAGTATCAGGGCTTTAAATTTTCTTTGCTTTCAGTTCCTCTGCTTATTTTTGAGGATTATCTAGTATTGTTTTGATTTTAAGAGAATTTTAAGCTTCCTCTGACCTGGAAATATGCTCATTAGCTCTGATAATAAATCTCGGAAAAAAATAAATTAGGCTTGAACCAAACATCATAGAAATATAATCTTTTTACCCCAGGAGAGAAATCTCCATTTTTACTTCATGCTTCTAATAGAGTGGCTTGGCAAATGTGAATGAGTTCAGTGATTTTATTTTATTTATTTATTTTTTTAAAGATTTATTTATTAGAAGGGGAGAAGGGGCAGAGGAAGAGGGAGAGAGAATCTCAAGCAGACTCCCTACTGAGTGGGGAGCCCAGTGCGGGGTCCATGCTAGGCTGGATCTCAGAACCCTGAGATCATGACCTGAGCCAAAGTTAAGAGTCAGACACTTAACCAACTGAGCCACTCAAGCACCCGATTTTAGTGATTTTAAACAAGATAAATGTTTCCACATTGTGTTGAGATGTTAATTTAGTGTGAGGTGCTGGAGTATAGTATGCGGTATTTACTTGTGATGGTGATCACCCTATCATGTGGCCCTTACACTTTAGACAGGTTCAAAATTATAAAGTTGGGGGGGGGGATTTTTTTTTTTTTTTGGTATTTCCACAGCTTTTGTGGGTAGCATTTTAGACTTTTTTTTTTTTAAGTAAGCTCAACATCGACTGCTGGGCTTGAACTCATGACCCTGAAATCAAGACTGAGCTGACATCCTGTTGGATGCTTAACTGACTGAGCCACCCAGGTGCTCCTTGTGGGTAGCATTTTATATTTAGTTTTCCATATATTGAATTTGTTTCCCCCGTGTCCATATACGGGCCAGCTTGCCAATGACTTGCTAAAATACCGCTCACATACAGAAATAGGTGAAATGTTTAGTGAGCAGTAGAGTTGTTACTAAGTGGGCATATTTCATTCTATCCAAGGTCCTCCTTAATTCAGACATTTGAGTCTTGGATTTACTATACAGTAGAATTTGGGGATCAGTCTCCGATATTCTTCTGTAATGAGAGCTTTAGGAATTCAAGATTTTCTTTTTATTCTATTTGTGAGGCAGGAATAGTGGTAATTGAGAGGGAATTTGTCCCTTCTGCTAAGGGCCCTCTTTTGTAATAGAGATGATCTTCTGTAAGAATTAGGGAGATTTTTTCCCTCTAGTTGTTCAGATCTTGATTTCTGATGCAGGATTGGTTATTTGTTTAGTTTAAATTTTTTTTCTTTACCCTTTTGAGAGCTACAAAAAATGGTGAAAGTGGGTACATTTAAAAAAAGCAAGACATTAAAAAAGGGGAAGGCTCCAAGTCAGATGAAAGAAATATAGACCACAAGTATTAACTCAGTAGTAGTCCCTACAAAAGCAGTAGTGATTTATATTGGATTCTAGAATATGGGAAAAGAGTTACTTCTCCGTTTAGTATAAAGCCTGTCGGTGATGTTACTATCTCAGTCTGTGATGACTTTCACACGACTGGTGGTTTGTGAGAAAAATCTACTGTTTATGTACTTTGAAATAAACCAAACTGAGTTATCTGTTTGACCACCTGAGTAAGTATATTTCCTTAGTTATCTAGATAGCTTAGATGTATTAACACTTTTTACAAAGGAATTTCTTTTTTTAATTCCCAATAATGGATATTCGACATTTGGCAAATAGAAAAAGAAGGGAATAAAAATCACCTTAGCCCTACTATTGAAAGGATGTTAATGTGATATTTTGGTGTATTCTCAAGATTTTTTTTTTAATAATATGAGCTTTGAGAAATTGAGGTTTCTGAATGCTGTAATTTGCAATAAATGTTGATTAGAGTTTTTATTTTTCAGTGCTTTTTTTCCCATTAGGATACAACATTTACTTTTGATTCTCTCACAGTATTTTTTCTTATGTAGGAAAATTATTAAAGTGGTCTTGTTCATTTAAAGTAATCAGAATTTAGTATTTATTTATGAAAATGTTTATTTTGCATTCTTAGGATATATCACTTCCGAGTAATGGGAATGATATATGATCACTCAGTGATCAATACAATCAGTTTTTCAGTGATTGAGAAACTTATAATAATGGTTTGTCGAGTTGAACTCCTTTTTTTTAAATCCCTCCCCAATGTCTTTTTTTTTTTTTTTTTTAACTGAGCTAGGAAGCTATGAAAATTAGAGGGTAAAATGGAAATACTGACAAATATTTAACCATAGCATACCAATCTGTCACTGTAATTTTCTTCAGAAATAAATGTTTTCATTTGTCCTGTTATTCTGAAATTACTGCCAAAGCTGGAAAATTTGTTTAGCTTTCTCAGCAAAATTCTTAAAAGGATATTGTCAGAGCCAACAATCCAGAATTATCATTACTCTTAAAATTGTCTTTAACCCACTTCTGTTTGCCTTATTCTCATAATTCTTTGGATTAATTTAAAGCTGTATCATATAAAGCAGTGTTGCACAGAATTGTCCTTTTAAATAATGGATTGTCCTGGAGATCTTTCATTTCCTTCCCTTCCCTTTTTTTTTTTTTTTTTTTATTCTACTTCTACAGCTCATCAACAGCTGAGCAAAGACAGGGGCTGCAGACTCCAAAGCCTGACTTCTTCCTTGTGCCAGCATATCTGTGAATCACAGGAAGAATTTGATAAGCATTATTTCCCCACTTTGAAGGCAGATTATGGGAATTTCAGATGGAGATTTTAACTTTAATGATTGAAGTAAACAATATTGCAAACTATGTTTTCTTTATCTGTATCATGAGTTCTCTGAATTATATCTGTATCATATAAATTCAGTACTTCAGTTTTGGTTGTAAGTAATACAGAAAAGAATAGACTATGAGATGCTGCAAACTGAATGTTTAGTTACCAAATTTTTATTGAATAGCTTAGGTTTTTTTCATATAATAACCACTTAAAATTTGCTCTTTTTAAAGAGCTACATAAATCTCAATTTTATAGGAGTGAATTTTTCCTTTCAAGTTAATTGGACAAAAACTATAGTATTATTAGGGTGTTTTATTGCTAGTGCCTAGAGTTGGAGTTAAGCTTTTTAAAAATAAATTTTGAGGCCTTAACACTTAATCAGATTGGGAAGAACTGAAAGAGTCCATGTGAAAACCCAATACAAGGATTATTTTATGAATACCTGGAAATAGTAGATGTGGCTAAAGAGTTTTATACGTTGTTACATAGTTTTTGTGTAGTTTGTGACAGTCCTTTAGATTCATAAGAGGATATCTAAAAGCTATTTGACGTGACTTAATTTTATATATTATGTCTCCTGAATTTAGGTCTGCTCCAAGAAAAAACATGGCTGCAAAGGAAAAACTGGAAGCAGTGTTAAATGTGGCCCTGAGGGTGCCAAGCATCATGCTGTTGGATGTCCTGTACAGATGGGATGTCAGCTCTTTCTTCCAGCAGATCCAAAGAAGTAGCCTCAGTAACAACCCTCTTTTCCAGTATAAGTATTTGGCTCTTAATATGCATTATGTAGGTAAGTGTCTACATTACCTTTTCTCTTTTTTTTTTTTTTTTTTAAGAGAGTGAGAGAGCACGCGTGGGGGGTGAGGCAGAAGGAGAACGAGAGAGCATCTTAAGCAGGCTCCATACTCAGCACAGGGCTCCATCTCACGACCCTAAGATCGTGACCTGAGCCGAAATCAAGAGTCGGACGCTTAACCGACTGAACCACCAGGCACCCCTGCATTACCTTTTCTAATCTTTTAGTGGGCATTCTGAATTATGTCTTTGTAGGCTTTTACATTTGAGTGAAATGAAATTTGGTTACATTGAGATGACAGTGATACAGCCATTGATGAATGTTTAGGAATCTTGTTTGTAGTGTAATTGGTCTTACCACCGCATATGAGTTATTAGGGCTAGAGGAAAACAGTGTTGGATTTATTTTACTGGATGAAGCTAGAAAGCAGAAGGAAACATTTTAGATTTTAATATGATAAAATGAAAATAATGAGAACTACCTTTCCAGACATTTGGCCTGTTCTAATTTGTTTGTTTTGGGGTTTGTTAGTAATTCAGAAAGCTTTTTAAATGCAACATTCTTTATTGTTCCAGAACATTAACATCAGTTGAACATAAGGCATTTATTTCAGTTAAATGAAATGTTGGAAATGACATTTATAATATTTTTAAAAAAGACTCCTTGAAATATAATTGGTATGATTTGGAGTTAACAGTAAAAGCAATATTGAGAGGTTAAAGAAGTTAAAGTCAAGAAATACAGGCAGGAGGGGTGCCTGGCTGGTTTAGTTAGTAAAGCATGTGACTCTTGATCTCAGGGTTGTTGTAAGTTCGAGCTCCTCCCCCTTGGGTGCAGAGATTACTTAAAAATAACATCTTAGAAAAAATAAAAGAAAAAAAAAGAAATAAAAAAGAAATACAGGAAGGAAACATAAAAATTTATCTAGAATGAAAGTTAAGATCCTTAATTTTTAGGTTAATTTTTTATTTATATGTAATGATAGCAATAATATATTTTCACTTGACATTGCTATTGTATAACTCAAGATGTGGTTTGAATGATGTACTATAGTGGTTTAATAATATTTTTATTATTAGAATTGCCCATGCAAGTATATGTTTTATAAAATTGTGAAGGGTCTGTCCTGTTTCTGTGAGATTTATTTTTATCTGTAGAAGGACTTTTTGGGTTCCAGAGCTTAGCCCTGAAAACCCCTTACAGCTCTAAGAGATTCCCAAGTAAGCCATTGTGGGAAGAAGAATAGTACAGTAGAAAAGGCAACACACTAGAAGCAGAACATTTGGGTACAATAAATTCATCTCTCTTAGGTGGCACTACCTTGGGAAATTCTGTGAAATGAGAAGGTTCTTTTTTGCTGCAAAACACTATAATTCTCAGCCCTTTATTAAAGGCTTTGTATGTTAGCCAATTTTTGGAAAATAATTCCAATCTGTTATAGAAGAACAATTCGGTACTTGGCTTAGATGTTTAGCTTAATCAGCAAAGTAATTCACACTGTGGTTTAAAAAAATGTGCTTATCACATATATTATTTCTGAATAGACTGAAATATTTATTTTAAAAGCAGCTGCCTAATAACCAGAAACATTAATTTTAGAAATTTGAATGGGTTCTCGTCCATTGAAGTTCATACTCTGCCTTATAACTTTAGGAACTCAACTGAGCCTTCTTAAATACGCTTACTACATGCTTTGGTAGAATAAGCTCAGTGATTACACCATCTACATAGACATTTTCAGCTTGAACAGGTTTTTGGTTAGAGTAACTTCTGTGTCAAAGTATTTAGGTAGTGTTTACATAATGTTCCAGTTTACCAAATTTCACCCTTAAGTACATTTTTAAAATTCTTACTTTTAAAAATTAGTAATGTACTTCTACATTTATTTATGTTAAAATCAAAACATAAGAAGTGTACAGTGAAAAGTATGTTCCTCTTTGGTCATTATCCACTAAGTTTTCTGGGCCCCAGCAAGTAGCTAGTTTTATTTCCTTGTGGAAAATTCTAGACATGTTTTTATGTACCTATGTCAGTATAAAGATATTAAATATGTAGTTATAAATGTATGTCTTCCTTTTTGTACGAATGATAGGATGATATACACTGTTCTCGACCTTTTGTTTGTTTTAACTTAATGATGTATCACAGAGCCATAACTACTGCTTTTAGATATTCATGAAATAAAGCTTTGTTCTCTGTTTTTATGTTGACACTTTCTGTTATGCCAAATTTTAAGATTCTGATTAAATGGTTAAGGCCTTATTTTCCCCCCAGCCCTCCCAATTCTGTTTTGTAGTGGCATAGTATCCTTGTATGGCTATACCATAATTCATTGAACTAAATACTCTTTTTTGCATTTTCATTTAGTGTTGCACTAAATAATTTTATATAGCTATGATTTTGATAGGTGCAAATATAGCCTTGAGATAAATCACTAGAAGTGAAGTTTCTGGGTGAAAGAGTATACATATCTGTAATACTGATCGATATTGCTCTCCATAGGGTTTTACTGTTTTGTAGCTGCACAGTGGTTGAGAGTTCCTGCAGTTTTACATCCTTATCAAAACAATGTTACCGAACTCTTAAATTTGGCTACTCTAGTAGGTGAAAAATGGATGTGTTCTAACTAGTTCTAATTTGTATTTCTCTTATTATGAGTGAGATTGTATTTATCTACATGTTTAAGAAAAATGTGTGTTTCCTCTTCTGAGAGTTGTCAGTTCGTGTCCCTTGCTCACTTTTCTATGGGATTTTAGCCCCCCCCCTTGTTTTTCCCCAAAGGCACAGGCAAGGCTTTATTGGGGCTACAGCTCAAGCTGAAGGGAGACACAGCACCAACAGAGTAGTTAGGCTGGCCTCCTGTGGGTTGTAGCCTTTTCTTGCTGATTTGTGGAGTTTGGTATACATTAGGGAAATTAACCCTTTGGGTTGAAATTATTGGGTTGAATTTCAATTTGGGTTGAAATTATTTTTTCCAGTTTTGGTTGTCTTGATTTTGGTTTATGATTTTTTTTTTTTGACATGCACAATTTGTTTTTAATGTGGTCGAATTTCCTTTTTTATAACTTAGAATTTTGACTCAATCATTAGAAAAGACTTCTCTATCATGTTTTATTCCGTTATTTTTGTTTCATTATTTACATCTTTGCTTCACTTAGGATTTTATCTGCATGTACATTGTGTTAGAGGTAAAAATTTTTTTTCCCCAGATAACTATCTGGTATTCTCCATGTATTTGTTAAATAGTTCAACTTTTTTTTTTTTTTTTTAAAGATTTTATTTATTTATTTGCGAGAGAGAATGAGAGACAGCACGAGAGGGAGGAGGGTCAGAGGGAGAAGCAGACTCCCCACTGAGCAGGGAGCCCGATGCGGGACTCGATCCCAGGACTCCAGGATCATGACCTGAGCCGAAGGCAGTCGCTTAACCGACTGAGCCACCCAGGCGCCCAATAGTTCAACTTTTCCTCACTGATTATTATATACTAAATTCTCACATCTATTTGGTTTCATTTCTGAATATTTTTTCTTGTTCTTTCAATGTGTGGTCTTATTGAATGCCTAGACTATATTTTACTGTCTGGACTTAGTCCCTTCATTGGTTTTTATTTCTCTTGCAGAGTTTTTCTGATACTGTTTGCTATGTGAACTTTAGAATTACTTAGTTTAAGTTAGGATGAAGAGATAGCTTAAAGATGTGAACTCTTCTCTATGTATGACATAGAGAGCCTCCCTATGTTCCAGATTTCTTTTGAGCCTTCTGGAGTGTTTTAAAGTTTTCATTATAGAAGTCTTGGGCATTTATTGTTAAGTTCATTCCTAGATTTTTTTTTATTGCAATTGTGACTTTTCCCCCTTTTATATCCTTTAATTGTTATTAAGAGCTTAAAAATCAAGGTAGGGTGTGGTTAAAGTTCATGTTTATGGAATATAATTGTACTTTCAAATTGGGAAGCTTTCCAGTGTGGGTTCTGAGAACAGCAAAAAGAAGTGATTGTTTAAATATAATTGGTGGAATGTTAATTATAGAACTGTTTTGCAAAATGTAGAATATAAAAAGGGAAATAGAAATAATATTGAAAAGGCAGAGTGGGGCCATTTGTGAAAAGACCTGAGTACATATATTAGGTATTACACTTAATTTGGTATGTAGTTATGGGTCAGTGAAGGATTTAGAGCAGGTGAACTGCATTTTAAGAAAAGTGATTAGGTAGTGTTGTACAGACTGCTGAATTGGGGAGGGGAGGGCAGGTGGAGAAACCAGAGGTAAGAAGACCAGTTAAGATTTTAGGCAAGAGGGGGCGCCTGGGTGGCTCAGATGGTTAAGCGTCTGCCTTTGGCTCAGGTCATGATCCTGAGGTCCTGGGATCGAGTCCCGCATCGGGCTCCCTGCTAGGCGGGGAGCCTGCTTCTCCCTCTGCCTCTGCCTCTCTCTCTCTCTCTGACTCTCATGAATAAATAAATAAAAAACATTAAAAAAAAAAAAAGATTTTAGGCAAGAGGTACTGAGAGCCAGAATTAGCCTTGTCGAAGTTGGAAAGGGAAGAGTAGATATGAGAATAATTCCATTGAAACTGCAGTCACTAAAATGATTAGTGACTGACCTAAAATGTAAAAACTCAAGCTTCATTTGTGTCCTCATTCTGCAGACCTTCCCATGTTTATGAAGTTGTTGACTGCTTCCTCAGGACAGTGTTTCTGGATTCTTCTAACTTTCAGACCATTCCTTCTGACTCTTGCTTTTTTCTTTAGACTTCTTAAGTGTTGATAGGGCCCAGAATTTGTGTTTAATTTTCATCTTTTGTTGTTTGTGTGATCACACATAGTTTTGGCTGCAAATCTCTATCTCCACTTTCCATTGCTTTTTTGACCACTAGTCTGTCTGTTACTGTTCCTCCTCTATTATCCCCTGGCACCCAGTTCATACCTCTTCCATAGCACTTACTCTGCATTCTAAGGGTCCTTATGCTTGTCTACTTTCTTAACTAGATTGTGAGCTCCTTTAAGGTAGGAATGGGGTTGTCTGTTATCTCAGTATTCCCAGCACCTAGCTAATGCCTGATACTGAATGAATTTCTAACTACTGTTAGACATCTCCACCTAAATATTCTGTAGACACTTCAATTTATGGTCACTGAACTCATCATGTTTACTTTAAGTCAAACCTCCTCCTCTTTGTTTCCTATCTTTTTTTTTTTTTTAATTTTTTAAAAAGATTTTATTTATTTATTTATTTGACAGAGAGAGAGAGAGACAGCTAGAGAGGGAACACAAGCAGGGGGAGTGGGAGATGGAGAACAGGCTCCTGGCCGAGCAGGGAGCCCGATGCAGGGCTCAATGCCAGGACCCTGGGATCATGACCTGAGCCGAAGGCAGACGCTTAACGACTGAGCCACCCAGGCGCCCCTCTGTGTTTCCTATCTTAATAGCAAAGCTATCCTCTTGATTACTACCCAGGCTAAAACATCAGAATCATCTTCACTTCCTTGTTCTCAGCCACTCACCCATAGATCACCACTAAGACTTAACTTAAATATCTCATAGCTGACCCTGCTAACTCCATACCAAAGCTGCTGATTTATTCCACGTCCTCATTTCTTTTTCCCCATTACTAAAATCACCCTTAAATAGCAGAAATTCCTACATTTTGTTAGGAGCATTCATTAATGTTATTTTAGGTAGGTCATCATTTTTAAATGCTGCTGGTCTTGCGTTTTAATTATAAATTACTGTTGCGTTAGCTTCATCATTATCAGTTGAGTTTGTTGTGGTTTGTTAGAGTGAATAGTGATGCATATTTGTGTCAGCAGTGGTTTTGGCTTTTATTTTTCAAATAGATTATATACATGTTGTAGTTCAGATAACTAATTCATACTGTTCTTGCTTTAGCAGAATTCATAATTGCTTAAGAATCTTCTTGTGTGATATATTTTGTTGTTATCACAGAGTTACTTTTCCGCTGGAATGTGAAATGGGGGTATAGGTGAGGCATAGGGTTTTTGTTTTGTTTTTTGTCTTCTTACCTCACCTAAAGTGTATCTAAAGGATTTGAGAACTGATGGCCCAGTCTGAGCTCCTTATTACTGTGTACGTTATTGAGGCGATAGTTCCATCGGCATCATCTGCCAGTACTTTTTTATTTACACCAAATTCTAGTGTAACCTAAGAGTTTATTGTTTCCTGAAAATACCCTTTGTTTTTTTAATGGTTTTCATGCCTACTATTTTCTTTTCCTAGAACGCTTCTTCTTTCTCTTAGCCTGGTAAAAATCCATTCAGCCTTCTAGGTCCAGGTCAAACTTAATCATTTAATCAACCGTAGCCCTTCTAATACTTGTTTATTGTAGCACCAATATTGTATCATACTTTTGTCCATGTTTATTTTTTCCTAAACTGTGATTACTTTATTCTTTGGACCTACCATGTCTAGGAATGCATATGGGTCACACTTTGCATGTAATAATTGGTTGAGTGACTGGATAATTGAAAGAATGAGGATTTGGCAGCTGTTTTATGAGATGTGCATGAGAAGGGAAAAATAGGAATATCTGGAAAGGAAAAGACAGTTCATTAAAAGAGAATTTAAGGAGATGTTTCATGCAGTAGATTGAATCCTTTAGCCACAAACACTAAACATACTTGCTTAATATAGTAAACATTCTTTTAAATACCTCTGAAGTCCTTTGAGGTAGGGATTAACAAAATAAATTGGAAAAATTATTTTAAGAAATTAAAAGCAAATAGAAATACTTATCTCTAGTTTCTGTTGGATTGTTCTTAAAGTTAGGATGTGTATAGGAAATCTGGATTCTGCCTCTTTAGTCCCTAGCATATTGCTCCTATTTCTGTAGCTTTAAGCATGATTGATTCCTTAGCTTTAAGCGTGAGAGAAGCATTGGGTACTAAGAAGGGATATCCATGCCCTAATAAAGACTCATTAGTAAGTGGAAAATAGTTCTAGAAGATTAGACTAGAACCAGATTTTGCAAGACCTAGAGTGTCAGACTGAAAAGTTAAGAATTTTTGGAGGTTTTAGAGCAAGAGAGTTGTCTAGATGAAAGGGATGGTTGTGTACTGAAGTATAGGATGGATGAGGGTGGAAAGAGACTGCAAGAATAGCAGTATACTGTCCTGTCAGAGTGGACTGGGATGGGGCATAGGGACTGGAAAGGAAGGGTGACATGAGACTTACTGGGGAAGACTCAGCAGGACTTGGTGATGACAGAAAAGATGACTTGGGTTTGAGTCAGAGTGAGTGGGATTTAGGAGAGAAAGACGGTGAGCTAGCCTGTTGAGGGATGAGGCCGGGAGCTCAGTTTGTACATGTATATGAGAACATTTAAGTGGTATATATCTCTGGCATTGTGAGATATGAGATGTTTGCTTAGAATAAGAAGTGATTACTTTTTTGTGTATGTGTAATAGGTAGATTCTCAGTAACTTTGTTGATAACATACATTTGGAATGGTATGTTTGAAGCAACAACATAAATTCTTTGAGCTAGATACTTTATAGAGAGAAAAACAGTTGTTCAGGGACTAAATTTCCTATGTTCATTTGGGGGAATAAAAAGAAAGTGGAGGGGAGAATTTGGAGGTTTAAAGAAAATCCCCAGAGCCAGTTTTGAGGGTTGTTGCTTCAGGTTCTGGGACAAGGATAAGCAGGATGTTTTAGATTTGACAAGTAGGCAGTTGTTGACTTCTGAGGTTTTTAAGAGTGGAAGAGTAAAGAGGGCTCTGTAGAGTTTGTAGACTGTAGAGGATAAAGAGGGAGTAGTGGATGGTTAGAAAATGGAAGCATTGGTAGAGATAGTTTATAACATTTGTCAGTGGAATGAGAAAAATAGGTAATAGAAAAAGGAAAAATCAGCACGAAGAGAAGTTTTTCTTTAAGATTGGAGGAGGAGCCCTATACATCCTTTGAAAATAGGTGAGCACTGGTGTTGGGGATGATGGAAGATGTAGGAGAAAGAGGGTGTTTAGGAGTTGGAAAAATAAGACCTTGAGTCAAGTGGAAGAGGCAGCATTAGAGAGGGACATTAAGGACAGTTCTTCCTCTGGGACTAGAGAATGAGAGAATTGGTGTAGAACAAATAAGTGGACATCAAGTAAGGGTAGATAATGAGAGGAGTCCTGCTGTACCTTTGTGTGTTGTTTTGATTATAAAGTAGAACAATCTACAAAAAAAGTGAAAAATGCTTTGTTTTCAACAGATAATCCATAGTGATTTTTACTGTATTAAACTTATTTTGGTAGTGAAGTAAAAATCCTCAAAATTGTTGAAACCTAATTGGAAAATAATTTACTTCAATTAATTGGGAGACTAAATTAGAATCGTATTTTATTTATAATTTCTTTTTATTTCTACTACAGGTTATATCTTAAGTGTTGTGCTACTAACCTTGCCCAGGCAGCATCTGGTTCAGCTTTACCTGTATTTTTTGACTGCCCTGCTCCTCTATGCTGGACATCAAATCTCCAGGTAAGAAGGTGACCTCGTTTTTGAAATGTATGACTGAATTTAAAGTTTTTCATTACTGAAAACATACTTTTCATGAACACTGTTAAGAAGCTGCAGCTTTGCCAAGTATCCAAAACAGTTTTTTTTTAAATTTTTTCCTAAGTAAATATTGTTGTATAGAATTAATAGCTGGGATATTATGCTTCAGATTTTATTTCTGCTTTTAAAAAACGATCTTAATATGAAATGGGCTTTAAGATTATGTTTACAGAGATACTTATGATCTTTTCTGTATTACCTAAGAATTTCCAAAGACAGGCTATAGAACATTTTAACAATTATGGACTTGATTACTTTCACCATTTTAGGAAGTTAGCTTATGTTGCTTGAGAAACGGCACAACCATGTATACAGTGGATGATTTATATAAATTATTTGATGAGGTTCATGGTATAGCTCAGAAGTTCTTCATCTTTAGTAATATTGTGTTTGCTTAGGTCTGCTAGTCCTAAGTTTTAAGACTGGTCTGCCAATGAAAATGAACTTCCTGCTTTGGAACAGGATATTAAAATACGGGGGAACTAAAAACCACACAGTAAATGTAATGGGGTATAAATAAATGTGGTGGGTATCATTTCTTTTCTTTTTTTTTGAGAGCTAGTGCATGTGTAAATTGGGAGGGGAGAGGGAGAGAATCTTAAGCAGACTGCACACACAGTGTGGAGTCCCATGTGGGGCTCGATCTCACAACCCTGAGATCATAACCTGAGTCAAAATCAAGAGTCAGACACTTAACTGACTTAACTGACTGAGCCACCCAGGCGCCTCTAGTTTCTTTTGTCTTGATTGAAATGTATAACCATAATGAAATATACTCCCAATCCTAAAAAGAGTGATGGTTACTTTGCATATATAACAAGGTGTAGCTGTCTGGAGGTCTGAGAAACAGATTTTGGTGTTGGCTTGAAAATCTTAAAATAGCATTTTTATATTACTAGAATTGAATGGTTGAGGTAGAAACCTTTTTTACTCTCTGATTGTAAAATAACACTGTTCATTGTAGATGACTTTTGGGAAATACAGAAATTTAAAGGCAGTAACAATCACCTGAAATTAGACCACCCAGAGATAGACCTGTTAAAATTCTGGCATTTCCTTCCAATTATTTTTAATACCTTCCAGTTTCCACCACTTTTATGGATATGAAAGAGTGAAAATAACAATAGTCGCTGATTCTTGGCCCTTGTTGTTGAAGTAGGACCTTCATCATCCTTTACCTCATCCGGTTATTTCTCAGAGGCTCCAAAATGTTCCGCAGAAACTCAGTTTTGTCACATTCCACTCCTCTGTTTGTGTCTGGTCAATTTCCTCTGCTAACTTCTGCCGTTTTGCCCAGCTTATGTCCTCGGGTGTTAAAGTTGCAAAATCTGGAGCTGCCGGAGTAGTACTGCATTTCTTGTAATCGTAACGGTGCTTCAAACTGAGCTGTGTTTTACTCTGAAGACATGAGTTTTCTCATTTTGTGTCACATAAGTATGTCTCTGTGTCTTGGACTCCTTCATGGGAACATGAAGTAGATTTGTAGCATCTTTCTCCACATAGCTTAGAATAGGAGTCCAGGGGCCAGGACTAGCACAGACAACATGATGTCCTTCCCGTTATAGCACCACCAGCCCCACAGCCTGACACAGTCTGTTCCTGTGGCTTTACCCAGGACACCTCTGAATCTGAGCTCAAGCTCAAGGTAGAGACATTTCTCTATCTTTATTCTTTTTTAAGCAAAAATTGTGTCTGTAGAGTATAATGCAGTAGAGTATATAGGCTTCTGATTCATCATTTTTGTGTGTAGATGAGTGCCTGGCTACCTACGAGTGCCATATCTTTTGAGTGGACGGGTGACTGGAGAGTTTCAAATACCATGTTCCTTATTTCTATGACCTCAGTGTCACTTATTAGAAAGATAGTTCTCAGTTTCCTTACCTATAAAATGGTGGTAATATCTTAAGGGGCTATTGTAAAGATTCAATAAGATAAAGCATATAAAGCTCTTAGCATAATTTTTGACATATAAGTGCTCAGTGAATTTTTTCCTTTTTTTTTTTAAGTTTTTAAATTCCAATACAGTTTTAACATAGTGTTATATTAGTTTCAGGTGTACAATATAGTGAGTGATTCAACAATTCTATACAATTCTATACTCAGTGCTCATCATGATAAGTGTACTCTTTAATCCCTATCACCTGTTTCACCCATTCTCCCTCCCCCTGCCCACATGCCCTCTGGTAACTTTCAGTTTGTTCTCTATAGTTGAGTCTGTTTCTTGGTTTGTCTCTCTCTTTTTCCCTTTGTTTTGTTTCTTAAATGCCACATATGAGTGAAACCATATGGTACCTGTCTTTCTCTCTTTTGCTTAGCATTATATTCTTTAGCTCCATCCATGTTGCAGATGGTAAGATTTCATTCTTTTTTTATGGCTGAATAATATTCCAGTGTGTGTATGTGTGTGTGTGTGTGTATGTGTGTGTATGCACACACACCACATCTTCTTTCTCCATCATCTATCAGTGGACACTTGGGCTGCTTCCGTAATTTGGCTATTGTAAATAATGGTGCAGTAAACATAGGGGTGCATATATCCTTTTGAATTAGTGTCTTTGTATTCTACTGTAAATACCCAGTAGTGTGATTACTGGATCATAGGGTAGTTCTATTTTTAATTTTTTGAGGAACCTCCATACTGTCTTCTGCAGTGGCTGCACCAGTTTGCATTCCCACCAACAGTGTAAGAGGGTTCCTTTTTCTTCACATTCTTGCCAATACTTGTTGTTTCTTGTGTTTTTGATTTTAGCCATTCTGACAGGTGTGAAGTGATATCTCATTATAGTTTTGATTTGCATTTCTCTGCTGATGAGTGATGCTGAGCATCTTTTCATGTGTCTGTTGGCCATCTGTATGTCTTTGGAGAAATGACTATTCATGTCTTCTGCCCATTTTTTAATTGGATTATTTGTTTTTTGGGTGTAGTGTTCAGTGAATTTTCTTTTTTAGAGGGAGAGCAAGAGCTTGAGTGAGCAAACGGGTGGGTGGGGGAGCAGAGGGCAAAAGAAAGGTACAAGGACAAGCAGACTCCACACAGGGCATGGAGCCTGCCATGGGGCTGGATCCCATGACCCCTGAGACCATGACCCAAGCCAAAATCAAGAGTGCTCCCGGTGCTCAGTGAATTTTAACTAACATTGTTATGTTTTGTTTTTATTGTGCAGCAGTATTTTATGAACATTCTTTAAAAAATGACTTTAAATCAGAGTATTTCATAGAACCGCTTTGTGATAGCCTTTTAGAGTTGATGTGATTTCTTTGATTAATCTTCAAAATCCTAAACTTGAAGGTAGAGGTATGAAAATTGTTGCTTTTATTAGTTATAATTCTGGGTGAGAAAACAATGATCCTGCTCTTTCCCTCATGCTTTTTTGGTTTCCATGTGGTTTAATGGTGTAGTGATGGCTGAAAGCATGTAGCTCTATTTTTATATACAGTCTTACCATCCAGGCATTTTTAGAGGTCAAAATTCTGTTATGTAAGGATAAAGGGAACCCTGACAGTGTCAGAGGTAAAGACAAGCCTTTTTCTGACCATTCTTCTGGTGGCAATTTTAACTTCTGACTTTTAATTTATGGGAATGTTTCTTCTGATATTTAAAGTTTATTTTTATTATTAGAAAATCAAATTTATTTTAAATAATAAAAATAATTATAATAAAATTTTATAGTATACAAAAAACATGTCCTGTTTTTTTATTTCATTTTGATCCTTATTAGTAATCCTTTTGGATTTATTGAAGAAAAAAACAAAGTGGGCAAATAGCTGGGAAGGAACAATCTCAGACTTTAACTTGAATGTAGGTTTTCTGATTGCTAGCTTATTCCTCTTAGGGAGGCAGCATGTTTAGGGGAAAGAAAATGAGTTTTAGAATCAGACTGGGTATGAACTAGTTTCCCTACTTAGTCAATATGTTAGCTTGGTAAGTTGCTTTTTTGAAAATGTAAAGGAAAACAGTGCCCATTTTATGGAGTTAGTTTTGATATCAAACTAACAAATTTCAAGAAATGGCGTGTTTTAGAATTTTCTTAGTATATAATGTATAATATGGTGCTATCTCACAAAAGTTTAGCAAAGATGTATTATCCTTGAATTATTCATAATATGTCACATTTATAAATATTGAGGCTTGAATGTATTTCATTTATAAAATTTTAAGGCTGAAGTTTTTAGTTTTAAAAAATGTAATGGTTCAGATTTCATGTGGCAACTTCATAACTATCTTTTTTTTAAATAACAGCTTTATTGAGATATAATTTACATACCTATTTAAAGGATACAGCTCAATGGTTTTAGTACATTCACAGAACTAAACAAACCATCACTACAGTTGATTTTAGAACACTTTCATCACTCCAGAAAGAAACCCTGTACCCATCAGCAGTCACTCCCTATTTTCCATCAGTCCCCTTACCCCCAAGCCTAGGCAACTGTCAGTCTATTTTTTGACTCTATGGATTGGCCTATTGTGGACATTTCATGTAGACACAGTATGTGGTCCTTTGTGCCTGGCTTCTTTCACTTAACATGTTTTCAAGGTTCATCCATGTTGTAGCATGTATCAGTACTTTTTCTGTCCAGATCATATTCTATGGTATGAATATACCACATTTTGTTCATCTATTCACTGATGGACACAGGTTTTTTTCTACTTTTTTGGCTATTATGAGTAGTGCTGTGAACATAATGGGTAAGTTTTGTGTGGACATACAATTTTTTCTTGGGCATATACTTTGGGGTGGAATTGCTGGATCATATGGTATTTGTGTTTAACCTTTTGAGGAACTACCATACTATTTTCTTTCTCTCTCTCTTTTTTTTTTTTAAAGATTTTATTTTTAATCTCTACACCACATGGGGCTCGAACCTACAACCCTGAGATCAAGAGTTGCATGCTCTACCCACTGAGCCAGCCAGGTGCC